ATTATTATTATTATTATTATTATGTGTCACCAAATATCATTGGTTAAATTGTTTCTGTGACTTTTAGAAGGTGCAGTAGCAGTAGGCATCTATTTCCATTAATAAACCTTTCTACCTTCACCCCTACTCCCTTTTCAATATTTAATGTTCCTAGATCCAGCTGCGAAACTGATGTCTTGAAGTTGAGGTGATGCCAGATATAGCACAGATGTACTTCTTTTTCTGACTATTCCCTTCATGTCATACTATTAATTTTGTTTATAAAAATTATTCCAACTAATGATCAGTTTTGTAGAGTTACTGATTAAATTCTCTATCAGTAAGCTTATTTGAACTGGAGCATGTGCTTCTCATAATCTTTATTACATAGGAACAACTATTCCTGATCAATCAATAAGCCTCCTAAACGGTTTTTAATGTTGTTGGCCAATTGATTATTGCCAAAGGAAAGTCAGAGTAACATCGTAAATATGTAGTAACCTTTACCAAAGCAGTCTGCTATGATCTAGAATATTCAAATTTTGGTACTTGCATACCTGGAGTCAATATTTCTCTCTGCTATATCTTGAGCTGAGTTTGCTTTCCACAATTCTGTCTGGTTGCTTTTCTAACCTATGCTCCCATTGCAACTCCATTGACAAAATATTTGCACTATAAAAACGGAAAAATCTCCAGGAAGTCTGAAGAGACTGAACAATTAGGGAACTAGCTTGTAGTCGAGGAGTCTGGGTTTGCACTCACAAAATTTCTGCATGTCTTATGAATGTGTCATCAAGGGTAAATATATGACAACTTACATGAATACAACCCTGATAAGACACACTACTCAAACATCAATTTAATATAGTTTGTTTTCATTGTATTCTCTTTCAATTAACTTTCTGAATGCTCTGAATGCTACAGATTTAAATACAATAATTGGGGACAGAAGAGGGAAGAAGATTTCTTTTAACAAATTAAAATACATGTTATTATACTGTTATCTATATTTCTGACCAATCTGCTCTATCCTAAAATTCTGGATATTTAGACAGTGCTAGAAACATTGTCACTACCCTTCTTCAGTATTTCTTTCCTTTATAATAATGAATGAAAAACAAGAAATTGATTCTGAGACAGAGGAAGGAAGTCATCAATTTTCCGAGCAGGTTTCACTGCAATTTCTGACTGAGATTGATTCCAGAATTTTTCTAAAGCTACCATAGGAAATATTGGCTCCAATGTTGAAAGTACTTTCCTTTTACACACAGTGTTATTTACAGAAATTCAGTCTAATTATTTTCAGTTCTGCATAGCAAATCATTCAAAGAACAATCCTTTCATCTGAGAAAAAAAGTAGAGCTTTAAAGTATATTCAAATTTCTTGAATGGAAAATCTGACAATATATTCAGTGTTAAATCATATCCTCCCAAATACACTGGACATGAAAATTTAACATTGTTTTCTATAAACTTTACCTAAATTATGATGTTCAGTAAAAAATCTATTTACAGTGATGACAGAACATCCACATTCACAGCAACATTAAACTGAACTATTGTGCAGTGAAAATACTTTTTTCCTCCTTTGTGTTTACAGCCAAGTGATTTTAAAGAAAATCATGAAACTCACCAGCAGAATAGAGAGATGCATGTAATGTCATTTATGAACCCAGAGAGGAAATTAAATTTTATTTGTACATTCTGCATTTATTCACCTCTCCACCTTCAGTCTTGACAGTGACCTTCCCTGCATCCTTACTCTCTATCTTCCCTTTCACATAGGATTCCTTTGCATGTACCACAAAGACACAGGTCTTGGCATCGAAAGGTTTGTTCTGGGCCTCAATTCTCTCCTTCTCTGACTTTCGGAGGTAAGGCGCCGCCTCGCCAAAGGCGGCCATGTCAGCGTCTGGAGTCGCCATTGTTGCACTTCCTCAGGAGCCACAGTCAGCAGGGTCCTCCGTAGGCTACAAGATATGTTGTGTCAGTGAATGAACATCTTCATGTGGAAAAAAGGAGATCTCTTGCACTTTGATCTTTTCAAGTATGAAAGTACGTAAAAGCAAGTCAAAAGCTGGATTTAAACTTCCCAGTCTTGGCTGAAAATACTTACATAGCTCTCTAAAATTAATACTTAGACATCCAGCTAAGAGACCATGCACAGAACAGTAGTTAAGTGTACAGTATGTCATGAAGTTGAAAGTATTATTTCAACTTTGTGAACTCTAGCAAATTTGACTGTTCCCATAAGAGAGCCTCTGTTTTGGTTTTTTTTAATGCTACTGAAAGACTCTGAAATAGTTCTTTTTCTGATAGCAAGTGATGGCTTTCTAAAAATTATTTGCTATGGATAATTCATCTTGCTTTATAACAGATATAAATGTTACTATTGCTTGTTAATCCTTCCACAAATCTTAAAATCTTGGATTTCATCCTGTTCCTTAAAAGGTGTTAAATTTTGTTATTGATTTTGGCGGCAGACATCACTGCTACTTGAAAACATAAAAACTCAGTTTTGTGTTGCACAGATATTCAGATCAAATATATAAGTTGATGGAAAATATGCTGCCTTCAAACCTACAATAAAGTTACTGCTGATAGAGTCAGTCTATGACAGAAGTGGATATCCAAGTCTTATAGGAAGTTAAACGGAATAAAATGTGTATGTTTTGCCCAGCAGTTCACAGGAGCCAAACACTTACCTCGAAATTTTCTGTCAAGACTGGGCACAGCACTCCAAAGAGACTTTTATAGACTCTGGTATGCAGATGCTTTGGATGTTTCCTTTTCCTTCTGTCAAAATATATTTTGGCAAACCATCTTTGGCAAAATATTGTCTGGCAAACTTAACTAATGGCATAATTGTCATTTGACCTGATATATTTAGAAATGTTTTGCATCTTACCATCCCTGTAGATACACTTCCTATAAATAGTCTGACAGGGCTATTAATATTGGAATCTGGACTAGTCAAGGCACTTAAAGAACTTGGGTGTATGATTTATTGGTTCTTCTATGATCTTTACAGGTAACTTAATCTTTGATCCAGATGGATTTCTTTGGCATTTCTGTACTTTTGCAGATGTAAAAGGGAAATAATGTAATGTATCTTGTACATGTGGTCCTATGAACTTAGAGCTTGCCTTTACATCATTAGAAAAGGCAGCTCTACAAAAGACAAATTAGTATTAAAACTCTTTCAGTGATTCATTATGTATTATAAGAAAAAGGGGAAAACCAGGCGTATAGTGGGCCAGGAATATCAGATAGAGAAGAATCCAACAGACAGCAAGGTCAAATACGGTTTCAAGTTTGGACATGTAGTTTGTGCCTTCAATGTGAAATGTGACTCCTTAGCTATAAAAGCAATTGAATATGTATGTGAATAAATCATCACTTGGTATTTTGCAGAAATCAAAAAATTCAAAATGTGCATACTAGAGGAATGCTCACTATTGCAATAGTCAGTCATAAGTGATATAACAGAAAATTCTTCATAGTTTCAAACAAATATTATTCATAAAATCTCACACTTGAAAAAAAATTATACTGTTTTTTGCAAATAATTTCAGGTTGTGAAAAAGTTGATGCTTCTGTTACAGAGCTGATACAGAAGAAATGTATAGCAAGCACATTTATTAATAGGAAAATTATTAATATAAATTTTTTTCTGTTTCTAAAAATTTATTAAAAATTTTCTAAGAGTTAAGAGAGCCCAAGAAGCAAAATAACCTAGACCAGGAAATACTTTTAACCTCCAGTAGACATAGTGTCAATAAATATACAGTGATACTTCCTGTTTCATCTCACACAAACATGAAGTGCTAACATGCCTTAAAGAGCTCAGGCCCATGTTGCTAATATTATGTGCTTATTATTATTATTGTCAATGTATACCAAGCAATACTGTCAACCAAGTCAGGCCTTCACTACCTACAACTCAAAAAAAACCTCAACCCTTCTGCCCAAAACACAACTCTACCCACATTCACACACACAGCATTGGTCTGGGATCCTCTCCATTCTGACACATCCTCAGTCCAGCACTCCCAAATCACAAATATCTTGCACTCTTACATATTCATATAGCTCCAGCAACAAGAGCTCTCAACACAGTGCTGCCTAATTTGGAGCAGCATTGCTGTAGGCAATACTCTGAGAAAGGGGAAATTTGCCAGTAGTTCTGGAGAATGAGTGGTCAAGTTCTAGGAAAAAGGGCACTGTCACTTGAGCTGCTTTAAACTGTCAGTTCTGAGCACGCTCTTCTCCTGGTCACTGGCATTTTGATTATTAACAGAGCTCACTGGGTAAAGCTCAATGAAGTGCAGAGGGGCAAGGTCAGTAAATGGGATCCAAGATATCCAAAAGGAAAAGCTTATTCCAAGGATGAGCATGCAACTTTCTGGAGTTCAAAACCAGAGCTCAGCCCTGGGATCCCTGCTCAGGGCAGGGGGAAGCTGGTGGAAACACCCTCTGCCCTGAACAGGAGGAGCTCTCTAAAATAGAAACAGAAACAACCTGTATAAGGCTGTGAGTGAAGGGGGGCATCAGAAGTCCTGTGTGCGCAATCTCTGACTTCCATGGACATATAGAACTTAGAGCACAAATCAGAGAATGGTTTGGGTTGGAAGAAACCTTAAAAGAATCATCTAGTGCAACACCACTGCTGTGGGTAGGAATTTTGACTAGATCGGGTTGCTCAAAGCCCCATTCAACCTAAGCTTGCACACTTCCATGGAACATTCCTGTGTTCTGGGGCCTGTCTGTTCCTGTGTCTCACTGGGCTCTTCTTAAAAAAATCAATTTATATCCAACCAGAATCTACCCTTTTTAATTTAAAACTTTTCCCCTTATCCTGTGGCCACAGGCCTAGGTAAAAAGTCTTTCCCTCTCTAAAGAGGTGCCTTTATATATTGAAAATTTGCAATATGGTCTTCTCAGAGCCTTCTCATTTCCATGCTGAGCAGGTACAACTAAGTAAGCCTTTCTTCACAGCAGAGGCATTCCAGGACTTGGATCTTTTTTTTTTTTTTTTCGTGGCTCTGCTCTGCATCTGCTCCACCTGGTCCATTGTCCTTTTTGTATTGGGGGTCCCACAGCTGAATACAGCACTACAGATGGGGTCTCATGACAGCTCTTTAACTGGATGACATTCCTTCCCATTGGTTTATCAATTGAAACATCCAGCTTGATGTTGTCTGCTTTACCAGTAGATTGGACAACACATGCCCCAGTGTACATAACTCTTTTATTCTGTCTCCATCTGACTAAGAGGTTTCCTTCTTATCCCATGGCTTCATCACTTCTATAATAGCCTTTGCTGGCTTTCATAACCTTGCTGAAGAGTTTTGGAAATCCTGGTCAATTATATTATCTGTATCTCTCTGTCCACACACTCATCTATCCTCTCAAAGTTTTGTTGTGTTTTTTCATGTGTAAGGCTGACTGGAATTTAACAGACTGCTCCTTTTGTAAGGACATAAACCCTCTCAGTTCCCCATACCAATTTTTCCCTGGAGGTGTTACATATGCTTGGTCCAATGCTCCCTGGGAATTCAGTGTACTCTGCCCTAGGAGGCAGGGCCTGGGATGAACATGGTAACTTTCTCTCCCTGCACTCAAGTCTTCAATGTCAGTTTATGCAGATCTCTGCTCAGCCTCAGAATCTGCTATTTACTTGCCTGTCTTCTTTATTGCTTCTTTTGCATAATGAATGGAAAAATCATTCATCTGAACAGCTACTAATAAAATTACAGCTACTAATGAAGTGTTTTCCTTTCACTGATGGATTACTGCAACCTGTCTCTTCCCTGCTGTCTTCTCTGACCTCTCCTCCCACAGGCTAGTGAGAGAAGCTCCTTGTGTGGATTATGAGTTTCTACAACACCAGTAAGGAAAACACCTCATCAAACAGCTGATCTTTCTCAGGAAAGAAAAATTCCCCAAGACAGGGCAGCATTTCAGAAAGTAGTGTGGCAGAAATTCAGCTTTTGTAGACACTGATCTAATTTATAGAAACTAAAGTAATTCTCACAGAACTGTCACCAACCTTCTCCAGTTTTAATTCAAGGGAATGTGATACTCTTCATGGTCTTCTAATTAAATTCAAGGAGAAAAATAGTGGAGACCAAAGACTACTTTTGGTCAGCTTCACAAAAAAAAGGTCATAAATTCTTTGGGTTATTGCCACTCTATAAATCACTCTCAGAGGCCAGCAAAAGAAGCATCTTACACCTGAAAACAGCAAGCTGGAAAGTGCTGAGCTGCCATAAGGGTGAATATAACATAAGATATTGTCTGGGGTATACCAGTAGGAAGAACTTGCAGGAGTCACAGTCAGGAATTATTGTCCTTGACTTCTCTTCATGTGATGTTATTTTTCTAGTCACACCTCAGTCACTAAGAAAAAAAGAAGGGATAAGTAGTCAGGAACTAGATGACAAAAAAGCTACATTGTGACATGAGTACACAGAGATTGTACCGAAAAAACCGCAAAACAGTACCAAAAATGGTAATCAAGGTCAAACCAATAAAACCGGAAAGAAATGAAAAGTACTGCTCATGGTATGCACACAAAGGAATCTACAGGATTTATTCTCTAGACATTAAAATGCTTAAAACAAAAATTGCAGAAAGAAGGAAGTGACAGGGGATACACATTTTGTGCAGCCCTCAGGTCACTTTGCTGTCTCATGACATCCTCACTCTTCCTCTTCTATCTTCTTGCCATGAATGTCACGGCTCTTGGCTCGGAGCTTGTTGACCTGTGACTCTGCAATGTCAGCCCGCTCCTCGGCTTCCTCCAGCTCGTGCTGGATCTTGCGGAACTTGGAGAGGTTGACATTGGACAGCTCCTCCTGCGAGAGCAGAGGGAATATGGGGTGAGGAGCCCAGGGCAAGGGTTTCACTCCTGCAGCAAGTCAGCCTTATGGGGCTGCACATCTCCATATGCCCCTCCAAATCTCCAAATGCCCCTTCCCTTAATGGAGAAGTTTCCTTAATGAATGTCCCTGACTGCAGGATGCCCAGAGCTCACCAAGGCCTCGAGAAACAACAGCAAAGCAGCATGGCCAAGACAGTTGTGTCTTGGGAGATGCTTTCATACCCCTCTCCTGCTACTCAGACTCATTCAAGGTGTGTGCTGCCCTAATGGAATCTTTGCTTTTGCCCTTTCTCCAAGCAATACTTACAGCCTCCTCAGCCTGTCTCTTGTAGGATTTCACTTTCATTTGCAGCTTGTCCAATTGGAAGGTTTTCAGTTCTGCAATGTCATAGGAGGTCAGCTTTGTTGATTTGAGATTTTTTAGACAAGCACTTTTGACAAATATGTAAGGATTTATCTTTTTCTCTGTCCTATCACCTGTGGAGGATTAGGTGTGTCTTAACACTTCTAATGACTATGTTTTCTCTTCCAATCTATACTTTTTCTCTCCCTCTCTCTCTCTCGTTTTTTTACAAATACACTATATCCTTGCCTTTTATCCCACCCTTGTCTTAGCCCACTCTCAGAGATTCCAATTTCCTTTGACCAGTTTCAGTCTTCTCCAGTCATTTCCCATCCTTCTTCCCCACATACTTGGCCTCCTCGAGCTCCTCCGTGCGCTGAATCGCGTCCGTCTCGTATTTGGTTCTCCACTGAGCCACTTCGCTGTTGGCCTTGGACATGGCTCTCTGCAGCTCTGCCTTGGCCTCCTGCTCCTCCTCATATTGTTCCCGGAGCAAGTCACAGTCATGGCGAGCTGACTGCAGGGCGTGGGCCAGGGCGTTCTTGGCCTGTGGGGACACATTTGGTTTAGCAAACTTCAATACTCATCTCTATATCTCTCTTGACTGTAAACTCGAACATGAAAATGGAATGAAACTCTAATTGGGCAAATGTATATCATGGAGCTGGTGAAGCCCTCATAGACACGTTTTGGAGCATCAGGACACATTAGTGACGGCTCCTCTGAGGACAGTAATCTGCTGCTTGTTTAAATGCGTGGCGGAATCCTGTCTCAGAGGGGATCATCAGAATTGCATGGAAAACTTGTGGATTACTTCCTCCAGAACCTAAAATATCAGCTTCCTTCCTTATCTAGAGGAAGAGTGAGGGAGCTGCCATCTCCTCAGTCAGGTTTTTCACCTAAAAAATAAAAGCAATTATCAAAATTCGGTGGAAAACAGTCTTGCTGATTTGGTGAAATTTTCTCTCTGCTGTGATTAGGCAGATGTTGTGCTTTTCCTTTCACTTCTTAGGTCAGGCTCAGCTCATATGTTCAAAAGGTAACATGTTCTTGGTTTGTTCTTTTGTTCACAAAAACACTGACTTTTCAACCAGCTCTGTGACCCCCTGTGCTTTACCTTGTTTTCAGTGGCATGTTTTTCCTTCTCCACCTTGGCCAGTGTTAGCTCAAGGTCATCAATATCTTTCTTCAGCTCTGAACATTCATCCTCCAGCTTCCTCTTCTTGGCTGTCAGCTCAGCATTAATTTCCTCTTCTTCTTCAGCCCTTTCAGTCAGCTCCTTAATTTTGGCTTCCAGCTGGATTTTGTTTTTGATGAGTTGGTCACACCTTTCCTCAGCATCAGCCAAGCTATCTGCTTCCTGGTGGGGAGACAGAAATTTGTGGGTTCTAATGTTTTGAACTTTCTCTGTTCTGCCTTCTTTATTACTGAGTAGCAGTTGAACCTGACCTTCACTTCCAGCAACAGAAGGATCCTGAGTGTTTCTATTGGAAAACCTTTTCATTTGGAATCAATATTTATTCCAAAGTTTTTGTGTCTCCAAATATGTCTCCCAGGGTTACTAGCTATGAGAATGTCTCATAGCATCCACAAGCATAATGAAATAAGGGTTACTTCAGTTTCTAGTTTCAGCAGGAATAATGGCTTGGAGTATTTTTCTTATGGTAAAAATATGCAACACCTTTTTCTGCTTATTTGATTATTTAACTTCATTGTATTTGATTAATAGAAGTTTATGGGAATACTTCAATGAAGAAAGATTTGTTTTTCTTTGGTCAAATTGTGTTTTCCTAATTTTGGTTTGAGGGAAAGTGGGTCTTTCTCAGGTTTGCTTTAATGGTGCTAGACAGAAGCACTGCTTTGAAAATTATTTTTCTTCCAGCTCCAAGTTCTCCACTGTCCAATACTCATTGGCTGGTGCTAATGGCTCTTTCCTCAGACAACAGCAATGGTAAGTGCCATGTGGGTCTGCCAGTTCCTGTTTACTCACCATTAGTTTGCCTGAGAATGTGTGATTTAGACTGTTTTCTTCCACCCATTAATTCCTGCAAGTCTCTTTGCAGGACCAGAAGCATTCTGACAGTATATCATTCTTTGTCCAGGGGAAAATGGAAGTGATACTCACAGCCTGTACTTGGAGCTGCAGGTCATTTTTCTCCTGCACCAGGGCTACCATTTTCTCCTCAAGCTCCTTCCGTTTTGCCTCAGACTTTGCAAGTTCCTCCTTGGTTTTCTCAAACTCTTGATTCATGTTGGCCATCTCCTTCTCAGATTCTGCACTCTTCAGCAAGGGCTTAATCTTGAAGAACAGCTTCATCCATGGCCAGTGTTTGACATTCATGAATGAACGAACATTGTACTGGATGCAGAAGATGGAGTCCCTGGAAACAAATCCATATGGTTATTGAATATCCTGTGTTCAGTGAATTTTGACTCAATTAGCCAGCTACCATTAGAACATAACAAATGAGGGAGAAATATCTACCTCCGCTCCACCATTCTCTGGTACTCCACTCTCATCAGGTAGCCTCTGCATCTGGCTTGTATCATGGTCATAATCTCTGCCAGTTTCTCATCTCTCATCTCCTCTAGCACACCTATCAGTCCAGCTTTGAAGAACACCTGGAGAAAGGCAAGATTGTAGTGGATCACTGTTGGGTAGTGCATTACTGGGGCACACTATATTTAAATACAGAACTTCATTCTACCTTGGTGTGACCAAATCTGTACTGGGTGTGGTCAACATCAATGGACGCAAGAAGCTTCTCTGAAGCCTTCTTGTTGTCCATGAATTGTCCCTCTGGGATAGCACTGGCATTAAGTACTCTGTATCTGTAGGAGAAAGCAGAACATTAAGAAATCAACAATTCTGAAACCGTCACTGTGATTGAACCTCACTGCCTACTCAGCAACAGCTGAATAATATCAAGTATTAGAGAGTGCATTCTTTCAAGACAGTGCAAGACTTGAAAGACACTGAAAGGGAGTGCAAGAACAATTCATGCAATTAACTCAGAGTCCAAGTAAATCCTCACAATCATCATTTTAAAAAATCATAAATTCACAACAAAACATGACAATGTAAAATGGAAAGATTGTTAAGATGATCAGGCTGTTCAGCTTGGTCTGAATTAGCAGGAAGGTTCAGAACACTTACCTCTGTTTGAAGTCAGCATAGAGGACTCTGCTGGGGAACCCTTTCCTGCAGATCCTGATCCCTTCCAGCACGCCGTTACAGCGCAGCTGGTGCAGCACCAGCTCGTGCTCCATGGCACCTGACAAATACCACCATTAGTGACTACCCTGCTCTTTGACACTCAGGAGAAGAGCTTCTGCTGCTCAAGCTTTCCTCCCCTTGGCTTGCCTTACCAGGTGTTTTAGTTTCATTTGGGATGATGCACCGTACAAAATGGGGGTGAGTGCTTCTCAAGTTAGCCATCAGCTTGTTTAAATTCTCCTGTGAGATTTCAAGGAAAAGTTCAGGTTTAATCTAGTAAGAATCTCATGCCTATCTATGATGTGCATCAAAAAAACTGAGTATTTCTGTGTCTTGAACTGTAGGAAATACATGATTATGTTGGTGTAAAAATCGTATAAATATGAATCAGAGACTTAGTGAATTACAGGTCTGTCTTCTGACTGAAATTTCACTGAACACATATGTTATTTCAGTAGATATATAAATGAGGAAATGAATTCTGCTCTTACCCTGAAGAGAGCTGAGACAGTCTGGAAAGAAGAACCCTTCTTCTGGCCTCCCTTCTTGCCACCACCACCAGAATCTGAAAATCAAAGAAAAGAAAAAAATTGTAATAATATAGACAAGATATATTGGATACTACAGAACACAAAGCCTCTTTATATTTCTAGTGTTTGCAGCTTTAATTCTAAGAAAACTTTGTCCGACATTAAAAATACAATTTTCCCAAAACACCTGCATCTGCTCCACCAT